TTTTATTAAGTCACTAAATTTTCCAGGCTGGACTCAGATTTACAGATTTTTTGACTCTGCCTTCCAAAGTACTGTGATTACAGATGTGAACCACCACACCTACATTATGGTATAATTTTACATAGTAACTCTTTGAAGTGACCCTTACACTGGATGGAACCAAAGAAAAAACAACCAACAAAGAACTTTAGATAAGGCCTAGACTGTGATTATCTTCATTTTGGAGTCCTGCCCTTGAGCCACAAAGGGTCCTGGCTGCTCTTTAATGAAAACTTCCAGACTGTGTCTGGGGTTCTGAGCACCTGCAGACCAGACCAGGGCAAAACCAACAAGGGGAGGATGCCAAGATCAAAGTCCTTTTCAAGGACTAACCCTGTCCTATGCAGCACAGGGTGTATTCAAGGGATTCCCCCTCCTCCAAGCATTGTAGCAGCCTTTCTCTGCCTCTCGTGGCATTTTCTTGCTCCCTGATCTTTTGCAAACGACAGTAGATGGCATAATGAGACAATTGACTGAGACAATACCTGATAAAAGGTTACTGGTTTCATAGAGACTAAAGCTTCTGTGTAGTTTAAATTCATGACTTGCCTTTAGAAGACACTTAAAGAACAATTCTAAGAGGAGAATTATTTTAAACTGTTTATGTGGCAGATGCGGGGGGGGGGTGTCGGATTTGTGAAGCATTCTTATTGAGATCTAATTTCTCAATAGCTCAGAGGCAAAGCAGTTCAAGTGTCTGTCCATGGCTATCCATTCAGTGGAATAGCAGTCAGCCTTAAAAATGTGAAGGACATATTTTGACATGTGAACAACAGTAATGACCTTTGGCGACATTATGCTAATAAGCCAGATTCAAGAAGACAAATATTGCATAGTTCCACCCATATGAGGTACCTAATATAGAAATGTGCATTAGAAATGTAGAAACCGAAAGCAGAATATGGGCTGGGGTGAAGGAGGCAGCCACAGTTTAATGAGTACAAAGTTTCAGTTTTGCAAGATGTAGAGTTATATGGATGGACCTCGGGGATAGTTCCAAAACACTGCAAATGTGGTTAAGGTCACTGAACTGTACACCAACACAGATTAAGATGGTAAATTTTAGCCAGGGGTTTAGCTCAGTGGTGTAAGTGCCTGCTTGGCAAATGTGAGGTCGCGAGTTCAATCCCCGGTACAAAAAAAAAAAAAAAAAAAAAAAAAAAAAAGATGGTAAATTTTATGTTATATGTATTTTTAACAAATCTGTTTAAAGTACACAAATCAGTGATTTCTAAAATACAGTTGTGCAAGCATGGCATAATCTAATTTTATTACATTCTGATCCCTTTATTTTATAAAAGCCCTTTCATACACGATTGAACCCAGAGCCTTCACACTGAGCTAAAGTCTCAACCTTGTTTAAAAATTTTAATTTTGAGACAGGTTCTTGTTAAGTTGCTAAATTGTCCAGACTGGGCTTGAGCTTGCAATCCTTCTGCCTCAGCTTCCTGGAGTGCTAGGATTTTAGTACATGTGACCGTGCCTCACTGAGGAAGATATTTTTAACAGGTCATAGATACCGTGCTTTACTTTTTAGGACTTGATATCAACATGTCTTAGAAGGATCCTTAGAGATTTAGTTCAAGAGCCTCCTATGAAAAAAACTGAGGCTCAGGAAGTACAAAATGTCTCAGCAAATGTCACACAACCAATTTGGAGCAGAGTGAGGATTTGATTTCTTGTGAAGTTATTTTTTTCCCCATAATAAAAAATTGAAAATGCTGTGTCATTCATTTCCTTCCAACTGATGCTGACAATAGGTTCCTGGAGGGAGAAGGTGTTGCCTTTCTCTGCGGGGGACAGCTGGGCTCCTTTCGGCAACCTTGCACCTCATCCTGCTGAGGTGGAAAGCACAGAGTTAGAGGAGGAGAGTAGGAACATCTTCAGCTGCATTCAACAATATTCCCTCATGCCTTAACTACGTCAGGGAAGAGTTATAATAGTTTTATTAAGAATAATGTCTCAGCTTCTCTTGTGGAGTAACTGGAAACAAGGTGCAGTGACTTTGCTTTCAAATGATAAGGCCTTTTACAGAGATGGCAGTGGTAACAGGTAGCAAACAGTAGGGACAGGTGGCCCCAATGTAAATAAAGGCTTTGGGCTGGCAGTGGAGACCTTTACATCTCTGGCCATGGGGCTGATGGAAAACAGCAGAGGATGAGGGAGCGGGTGCTTTAATAAGTCCTTTCATCTTTCGCTTCTTTCCTTCTTGCTTCCAAAAGTACTTTAGGCCCAGTAGAGCCATGGTGTTAGTTCATTCACTGGAAAAAAGTTGGAGTTGGATAGCCTGGGGGACTAATTTAGTCAATGAGTGCTTTCAAAATGTGTTCCAGTAGCCAGGAGTGATAGTGCATACCCATAATAATCCTAACTACTCAAGAGGCCGAGGCAGGAAAATCCCAGGTCAAGCCTGGACCACTTCATGCAACTGTGTCAAAACAGAAAGAGCTGGGAATGTAGCTGAGTAGTAGCGGCCCCCTGGCTTTCATTCCTAGTGCTGAAAAGATAAAGTGTTCCAGTGTTCCTTTTGAATCCATGGCTCAAAGCATTTCCAACAGCCCTAATTTCCTAGAGTGCTAGGGGAAAGCAGGGGTTCTGTAGCTGCTAAACATGGAGTAAGAGACCAAGGCTGTGGAAAATCACATCACTACAGAATTCAGAAATCACTAGACACATACTGAGGCCTAATTCTGTTTGCTGAGTCTGGGTCTCATCTTCTGCCCTTTGGAGTTTGGTGATTTGATCTGTCTTCCTTAGGGTGACATAAGTCCCTATAAGTGTCTGGAATTCCTACAGCCAGGCCAGTCAAGATGCAGGCACTCTAACTGTCCTGTGGATTTCCACTGCATGAGACAAATACGACCAAAAAGATTGCTGTGCAGAATGACACAGGGTCCCAGCGTTCCTAGGACAGTGACTGGATCATTCATTTTTAAGCTCCTAGTGCCTAGCAGATGCTTGGCACATTTGTCTGCCGTATGAGAGAATGAGTAGTAACATTTCACATCAGATGATGCACTGCTATTTACAAAGTGACTTATTTCTCTTGCATGAATGAATCCTCACAAATGCCCATACTTTAGCCCTTGAAGACAGGCAAGACTATTTTGTGTATGAGGTCACATAGCTGTAGGTTGTAGAGGTAGCTTTCAGACACTAAATCCACTGGTGTTTTTATACAGGTGTTTTACTAAGACTGCTATTCCTGAGACTAAGACAGCTATGGACAAGGGCTCAAATGGACGTTTGTGGCTTGTGTATTCTCTTCCTAAATCTGGGGTAGATGTATTTTTCACCTAACCCTCTCAATAATGGTGTATCTCTTACTTTTCCAATTTTTCCAATACTTTTCCCATAGTTTCTGAATTCTAATGCATTGTGAGTAAAACAGAATTCAGAGGCTTGCCTGGCAAACTGGTGAATCCACATGTAGTTTTTAGTAGATATTTCCTGATACAGATTTGGCATGATAACACAATTGTATTTAGTACAATTTTTGGCGAATTCGATTAACTTGATCTTAGTTTTATGGTCTTGGATCTTTAAGAAACACGTGTTCAGACATTCTCACTGCTTAATGAGATTCTTGTTCCTATTGAACTTCTATGACCTTATCGGAAATCAATAACTGCTTCTGATCTTCAAAATGTAATGTTGAGGAGACCTAGATTAAATCACTCTACAAAATGGTTTGAGATTGCAGGATGTGGGGGAGTGCACAGTAATTAAAATGAATGCTCCTGCTCAGAGGCATACTTGGAGGGAATTTCTCCGTGCAGAATTATTTTCCCACTACAATTAGTATTATCACAGCACTCTTAGCAGCAGGTATCACCTAACTCCTGGGCAGCAGCAGAGCTAAAAGCAGAGAAAGAGAGCTTTCCTTTCCTAGCAACGATTGCTAGGAGGCGTGGTTTTGGAGTCAGCCCGGACGCCCTCAGTTGCCCCTTCCCCCCACTTGAGTGGACTACATTTCCCGTGATGCTCGAGGGTGGTCTCCGTAGTGACGCACTTGTGTCCGCCGAGCTAGGGAGGGAGAGAGGCGAGGAGCGAAGGCGGGGGCGGCGGCCGCGGGTGGGGGCGCTCTCTCTCCGCGGGTCCCTTACTCTCACTCAGGCAGCCTCCGCCATGTTGGCTTGAGGGGCGATGACAGGAGGCGTCCGCGGCGTGTGGGACTGCTAAGTGGAGGAGGTGGAAGAGAGACAAAGCTCTGAGAGGGAGCCATTCCCCGCTGAGGAGAGGGAGGGCCCGGCCGTTTCCGGGACCAGACGAAGTCGGCGACGCCGGAGCTCTCGAGGCTGGGGAGGCGGGGAAGGCGGAGGCGGCGGAGGGAAGCCGAGGAGCCGAAGAAGATGCCCCGGGACCCCCGCCGCAGTCCAGAGGCGCCCGCGGCCTGAGCCCCGAGGGGCCGTGGGGGTCCCCCGGCTCGCCGCGCCCGGCTTCCAGCTTCGGCTCCCGAAGAGTTCAATGCCCTTGAGCGCGGCTGTGCGCGGCCAGGCTCTCGGCCCCGGCGGCGGCGCGAGGAGCTGAGCCGTCTTCCGCCCGGCTCGCGGGCCGGGTGCTCGGCTGCTCGGACGGCGCCAGCCGCGGCTTGGCCGCCTCTGCGGGCTCGCGCGCCGTCGTCAGTGCATCCGTCGATGTGTGGCCACATAGTTATCTGTGTACTTCCACGCCGCGGCATTTTTCTCCTGCTTAATGAGGACCTGACTCGGGAGCGCGTGTGAATCACTGCCGGGGCCGGCAGAGGAGGAAGGCGGATTTAACCCCCTCCCACCCCGCTCCATGTCCGTGTGTCACTCGGTGCGGTCCAGCTGGCGCGGCCGGTCCCGGGGCTGCCACTGACTGCTGTTGCCGCTGCTGCTGCTGCTGCTGCTGCTGCTGCCGAGGACGGCGACGGGGCCGCCGCGGCATCCCGAGAGTCCGCCGAGCTCCGGCCGCCAGGCGCCGCGGGATCGCTCCTCTCCGGCCGGGCGGGCGCTCGAGCTGTGAAATAACTTAGCAGTGTCACTTCGGAAGGCACGGCGAGAACCGACCAGAAGTGCGAAGGCTCACTCCTGCCGCTCGAAGACTGCTGCTCTTTCTGGTTTTCCGCGCAGACAGCTGGGTGCATATCCGAACGACAAGATGTCCAGCAATGTCCCGGCGGATATGGTAAGGGAGCGATAAGTTGTGACACTCTCTGATTTGATTGTGGTTTCCAGTCCTGTTTAATCGGAAGGGACCGTGGCGTGGAGGTTTGCCGGGGGACTGTCGGAAGCCGCTGTGCCGGAAGATTTGGAGAAGTTGGCGCTTCTGCGCCCCCCTCTCAAAAGTGTGTTTTTAATAGGGGTTTTCTCGTTTGCCTTGTGTTCTAAGGCAGTGAAGGCCGTGGGGGAAGTAGGGACAGGGGTTCGCAGTGCAGGAAACAGTCTTTTGCTGGAAGCTTCCCGACTCTTGTGTCTTAACGCTTCGGGAGACGTTGGTGAGGAGAGCTGAGAAGGGGCGTCCGAGCCCGATTCAAAGGTAGACCGGAAAGTGAGGCGCTTGACCGTGACAGGCGAGATCGGTCGTGCGTAGGCACACAGTTGATATTTTTGAGAGCCAGCATGCCTGTGTCTTCCAAAAAAGTATGCTAGAATTTGCTGCGAGCTCTTCGAAATGCACAAATGCAACAGAAACATCAAGTTGTTTCGGAATGTCACAAATACATAAATATTTCGATTTTTTTCCAGGGACTTTTAGTGAAAAATATTTAGTGCTGTACGTGTTAGACTTTGACAAGCGAGTGTAACGTGTTAATGCGCCTGGATCCCCCGGGTGTCGAGAACTGAAACGAAAAGTAACCTTGCTTATGGACGCTTTTCCTTTGGTTTCCAAAGGTGAAGGTTGTGAGTGTGTTGACTAACAGTTACCGTGTGGCCTTACAGTGCTGGGGGAGGGGGTGGGAGAGTGTGGAATTACACTTTGCAGTCCTGAGGACAAACAAAATGCGGTTAACAGGAAGATGAATAATCCTGTTTATGGAAGAATTGAAATTAATGTAATTATGCTCACTTTGGTCACGTTGACATTTCAGCGTTTGTGTATTCCAGTAAAAAAAACAAAATTGAACTTTGCTGCTGATTAAATTTTAAAATGTCAAGTGTCTCTATAGGAGGAAATCTCCTTTACAGATTTTAAAATGCGAGAAATTAGAGGAGCCTAGGCGACAGATTTTGACCTTGGTTTAAAGACATTGTGCTTACACTGGATTTCCCATTTAATGTGCTATTTAAATGCAAACGAACCACAGTGTTCCGTGTCTGGTGGGGGAACGCTGCAACTTTACACTTCTCCTTCCTGAGTCTTCAAACTCCTGCTTCGTCCTTTTAGTGTTTCTTTGCACGCACTCTATAGTCTCCTACTTGGTAAGAGTGGCTGACATAGTTTCCTCTACACTGGTCCTGAAGTTGCCAGCGAGCTATCTAGACAGAGCTCGGAAATGCTATTTCCCCTGCTCAGTGAGTGATCACTCAGCTTATCGCCTCTGGCAGAGACTTGCTCCCTCTAAGCCTCCATTTTATAGCATCACTCACAGGGCGAGATGTGTTCACCTTCGTAGCTTTTATTCCATCCCAGAAGTTGCAATCCAGTAGATTTGTGTCATTCAAATAGTGCCACTGCTTTCTATAGGCCTGATGATAAAGAACTGGGATGTGGGAAACACCAGTCACAAACTGAGGCGATTTGGGGAATACTGTTTCTGTGTCAGGCAGAGGAGGACTTGGAAGCTTGTGCATACCGGGAAGTAGGGACAAGGTTTTATTAATAGCTTCAGTTATAAAATCTAACAGCTTAACCATTTTATACTGTATGATGAGGCCTTGGTATTTCTGTGGTGCTTTGAGATCCCTTGATTAAAGGTGATATGCAAGGGCAAAGTAGTATTATGTAATAAACATATAATGCCCTGATGATGCCGTTTCACAGTATGCGCTGAGGGACAGCAGAGGTTACAAGGGTGAGTGTTGAGGTTTTTTTTTTTTTTTTTTTTTTTTTTATGTCTCATGTTCAACTTGTTGGAGGTTAAGATTTTTTCTTTCTGAGGTCTTTTTAAACCTTCATTTGCTTCAGTGCACTTTTACTTAAGAAGTGCCTTCTTTTGATATATGCTTAGAATTACCAACTTTTGAAAATATAAATCTTTGTTTAAAGTTTTTAGTTAAATGCTTCATATTTATAAACTCTTTGTACCAACAATTGACAGTTAATTTGAGTGTACATTCATGACAAAATGAGAACAATTTGCCACTCGGAATTTGAAAAGCTAGTCTCATCACTCCCACGTCTTTCCATTACTAATATTTCCCTTGCAGTATAACTCTAAATTGATTCGAATACATAGTTATACTCCTATAAACTTGCAAGTATGAACACACATTTTTGCTAGGTCCTGTAAAATTTTTAGCTGAGGGTTGACAGCTAGCCTGTGCCATTTAGAAACAAATGTTACTACTCTCTTTTACATTTTAATGGTGCTTGTCAGCTATAGGAAAATCCAATCCAGGAGATGAGGTGGGGCAGTGCAGTTATAACCCCTGTCATGTTTTCATTAGTAATAATTCTTTCTTGAGCTATAGTAATTGTTTTTTAGTAGTTGCATGACTGTGATTATGACTCACTTTAAAATTTATTTTTTAGCATTGCTTTTTATTTTGTAACATTTAAAATTTATTTTTAAATATTCAATGGTTTTGTATTTATCATAAGGAGTTTAAGTTTTTAAATCCGAATTTAGGGGGCTGGGGATTTAGCTCAGCAGCATAAGCACCTTCCTTGCAAGTGTGTGGTTGTGACTTAGATCCCTGGTACCGATAAAAACGAAAAAGACAAAAAAGAAAAAAAATCCGAATTTAGATTTTTTGAAGAGGGAGTGGTACCCTTAATGCTATATTCTTAAAAAAATAGTTTTCCCTTGGCATTTTTCCAGTCACCATTCTGTACTATATGTCTTGTAGGTGTAAATATGCTAACACGAAATGCTGGTTTTTCTTTTGTTAAGAGTGATTGAGTTTGAAATAGATTTACTAACATCTTAGTGTAGTAATATTTGCTTTTAATTGCTTAGTGTAGTAATATTTGCTTAAAATTTTTGAAAATATTTGAACAGAAACTCATTCTAGTACATTGTATTTAAGTGATTGATTTCCTTTATTGTTTAAAACCAACATCATTGTTTATGATAGGGCAGTCTTCCTTGTGTGTAATTGTAGCATAATTTATGTTAACAAGTATAGGTTTTGGTCAAGAAAATATTTATTGTCAGTGTTAAAACCTAGGGCTGGGTGGACAAGGTAGTATATTTGCTTTCTTAGATTGGAAAAATAACGTTATCAAGAGACACATTCTTGTATTTGTAAATGTTTTTTATGCTTGGGATACTATTTAGGACATTAGACTAAATAGAACTTTTTGATATTTATTACATTGAAAACTCTGCCTACGAAAGAGATTGAGGACAATGGCAAAGCATTGTTGGTATTTGAAATATTTTAGTTGATGAAACTGTTAAACGCTCTGAATCTTTAAAAATGATTCATTTAGAAATTGTTGCAGATGTGATGATTTGTAGTCTGAGTTTAAATAAGATAATGACAATTTAGGTTTTTTCAGTACATTTTATTTTTTAGTACTAGAGTATTATAATTTTTATTATCTCTTCCATTCATGAAAGAAATATTGGAGCCCTCTTGTGGACAGGAAATTACTAAAATGAATTTCCTTTCAAAGAGAACTTTTATTTCCCAAGTTAAAGTAAAATGACATGTAAAATATACCAAAAAAATTACATGCTAGAAAAAGATCTAAAGAATGAAAAATTTTTAGACTTGAGAAAAGTATGTTGATATTTAATGCCAAAACACTTTCCTTGTTACTTTCTACTTTTTCTTTCACTAGATTTTTTAATTTCAAGTTTAAGTTTACATATTTATGAAGTTTGAGTAGATTAAATGCTGTTTGCATACATGTGTATGATTTTGCATGGTGTAATAACTAGTACATCTCTTTCTCTAATTCGTTTTACTTGAATATGTTGGGTAATGTTATTGTGAATCTGTGAATTTTGAACACAAGAAAATTGTGTTTTGAAATACCTCAGTCTAATAGTTTTGGATTATTACCTTATATGTTTAGACAGAATATACTATGCATAGTTTAACTTACTTTTGGTGATGTGGAGCCACCATTTGAATAATAATGATTCTAGTCAGTGAGTTTTTACTTTATGCCTGTGTGATGAATGTAGTGTTGCTATTCTATAAATTGTGAGAACTTTGTCACTAAAGCTTTGCCATTTCACTAGATCAATAATTTATATAAAGTGAGGTGAGGCAGGTGAATTGAGGCGGAAGAACACACCTCATTAAAACATTAGAACTTCTTTGATGTGTGTATCCCAAAAGGATGGGGTAAGCTTTGTATTAATGTATGGATTGGATTGAGACTTTTCTAGATCTGCATTCAGGTAGGTGGTCACAGTGCCTGTGGTTTGCCGAGGGAAAGGTAATTCTATAACCTAGAGACTCTGTAGCAGCATTGATTTTCTCAGTTTTTACAATTTTTCTATTGTAGTATAGAGTTACTTGGGAAAACACTTAAAAGTCAAGCCACCGTGGTGGCACATGCCTGTAATCTCAGCACTTTGGAGGCTGAGGCGGGAGGATCACTGCAAGTTGGAGCCTAGCCTGGGCTACAAAGTGAGTTCAAGGCCAGCCTGAACTACACAGTGACACCCTATCCCAAAAAAGACAACAAAACAAAACAAAAAGCGATTTAAAAGTGAATCTGTGATACTTAATATTGAGATGACAGAAGTAGCTTTGTTGTCAAAGAGCTTGAAGAGTTTTAGGATGCAAAGATACATTACACATTTTTATTACAAAAGACAATAGTTTCAAATACTGGTAAGAGGCTAAAATTACTAAGCTGCATCAGATGTCTCTGGGAAAACAGACACTAAGTTGTCTCTGTAGCAGAATTGGCATTTTAAATCTTAACAGAAAAAGTACCTGCTTTTCAGAAGAAACTATAATGTTATGAAAGTACATTTTGAAGCATGTATATATTGAAAAATCTTCCTTGCAAAAAATTTCAGTGGACTTTTACACCATTCATTGGAACCTTAAAAAGGC